AAAAACCACCAAAAACGCGTAGAGAGTAGCAATGAGGGAGTGGTGTGGAGCCGTGGCATGTGCATACCACCAAACACAGCCCTGAAGGCAGACAAGGGAACCGTTGGCACAACTTCCCTATCCTTCCCTTTAAGAGAGGTAGGGGAGATGATTTCATTCTAAAAATCTAATTAATCAGTGATGGTGATGATGATTATCTGCAGTGTTGTGGAGGAAACATAGTGTTTGGCTTGTACTAGGCAAGCACTGAGCTATACCCTTGGCCTGGCTTTCTCTCCCTCCCTCCCTCCCTCCTTTCCTCCCTCTCTCCCTCCCTTCCTTCCTTGGGGTTACTAGCATTTGAACCCAGGGCCTCACATTTCCTAGGCAGGAGCTCTATCACTTGAGTGGTACCTCCAGGCCATTTTGCTTTAGTAATTTTTTTTTTTAGCCAGAATCTCCATTTTTGCCTTCAGAAGCTGGCCTAGAACTTCTGTCCTTCTCCTCATCCCTCCCGTGTAGCTGGGGTGACAGATGTGTACCACCAGACTTATGACCAGCTTCTTTAGTGAGATGGTGTCTTACCTTTTGCCCAGACTGGCTTCAACTTTAATCCTCCTGATCTCTGTCTCCCCAGGGGCTGGGCTGAGCCACTGTGCCAGCTCGAGTTTGTTTCTTAGGACCCAGGACCAGCTGTGCGCTTGCACAAGGAGCCAGTGGGCCCACTATGGCTTCCACAGAAGTTAACTTAATGGGAGCCAGAGTGCCCAAACTGTTTGCAGTACACGCGGGCAATCCAACTGCTGTGTGTGTGAGTGTGTGTGAGTGTGAGAGAGACAGAGAGACAGAGAGAGACAGAGAGAGACAGACAGAGAGACGGGGCTCTCATGGTCTCCCTCCCTGGCCAGCATCTCTTTAGGGATGTGGCTTCTGCTTCCCGGTGAAGGATTCAGGAGCAGCCTCACGGGTTGCTGAGAACAACTGTTCCTTTAAACCAATTCTTTTATGGATACCAGCCAAAGTCACAGTCAGCTGGAACCAGTGTGTGTGTGTGTGTGTGTGTGTGTGTGTGTGTGTGTGTGTGTGTGTGCATGTGCGTGCGTGCGCGTGCACAGGGGCATGGCCAGTGGTCCAGCTCGCTACCTCCACTCCTGGAAAGCCCACATCTTCCTGGCCTGGGAGAGGATGCGCTTCCCTGGGGACCTGGAAACAAACCAGCAGAGAAGTAAGGAGTGAGCAGAGCTCCGAGGACACCTCTGCCCTCCAGGCTGGGCCGGCAGCCGCGGCCTTTCTCCCGCCGTGCTGCCTGCTGCCTGCCTTTCCCTGCTGTTTCGCCCTGCCGAGGGGCTTGGCCACATTTGGAAATCTTCCACCCCAGCCTCAATCTGTCTGTATCCTAAGGGCTTCCTGAGCTCCCAAGGGAAATTAGTATTTCCCGTGAATGCATCAGAAATGCAATCACCTCTCAACCACACACACACAACACATGCGCACATATCGCACACACGTACACACCAAGTACACATAAACACACAACATACCCAGCACACACACCACATACATACCACAGACCACACACATATCACACACACACCATACATACACTACACACACATTACATACCACATATATACATGCCACACAGAAACCACGTATACCACACAAGACACCACACACATGCCAAACACATACCACATAAACACATATACCACACATACCAAACACACTCACCACATACACAGACACACCACACAAACACACATACCACACACAGTACATAAGCATACCATATAAATCACACACCAAACATACAAACACACAGCCCCCACACACAAACATACCACACACATACTGCACACATATCACACACACAAACACGCATACCACACATACCAAACACAACACACACAAACGTATCACACAAATCATACATATACTGCAGACATACCACACAAACATATCACACAAGTCATATACATACACACAAACAACACAAACACACATACCACACACCAAATACACATTCAGAAACATACAACACACAAACATGCATACCACAGACACCACCCAGCAAATACATGAACATATAGAAACACACAATGCATGCAGCCCACACAAACATGCACACCACACACATTACACAACACATAAAACACACATGCCATACACATCACCCCCAGACACACACACACACACACACACACACACAATCCACATCAGAAAGGTGGGTGTGATGCTTGCTTCTCTGACTACAGGTGGGTTTACACTCCCATCAGTGAGTCATTTAGGGGTTTAAAAAACCAAAAAAGGCACACAAGCATTTCGTTAAGAGGTCCTCCTCCTCTTTGTCCAAGGGGTGGGGGGTGGGGGAACTGCAGGTGTACCCCCCACTGGCATTCTTTGCCAAGAGGCTCAGCACAAACCCTCTTTTTGTTTGTTTTTTTCCTGTTTTGTTTCTGGGAAGGGGGAGGGGCTGGTCCTTCAATCTGCTTCTGGCTCTGTCTGACATTTCTCCTGGAGCCCAGCGAGGTGAAACTGGCAAATGACACTGTCACTTTCCTAAGGGACCTGGGGACCGGGGCTCACTGAAGGTGGCAGCAAGCGCCCCCCCCCCCAGGGGTTTCCAGACAAAGGGGTCGCCAGCTGCCTCATTTCCTAGACTCGGCCTCTTTCAGTAATGACGGCGCAGTGGATGGACAGTCACCCTTCGGGCGGCCCTCCGGGGCCTTTCCTGCCCAGTGGCCAGTGGAGCACTCCACTGGGAAGTGGCTCAAGGAGCTCTTATGGGGCCGGGTGCCACCTCCTCATCTGGTCAGCAGGGTGAGGGCTGGGACCTGACTGCTGCCCACTCTGTCTTTAAAATCTAGAACTCAGCGGGTGCATGCTGGGAGACAGCAAACCACCAAATCTAAATCTGTATTTAGAAGACCTTCCTTCCTTCCTTCCTTCCTTTTCCTTCCTTCCTTCCTTCCTTCCTTCCTTCCTTCCTTTCTTCCTTTTTTCTCTTTTTCTTTCTCTCCTTCCTTCCTTTCTTCTTTCTTTCTTCTCTTTCTTTTTCTTGCTCTCCTTCCTTCCTCCCTTCTTTCCTTCCTTCCTTTTCTCTTCCTTCCTTCTCATGAGCTTTCCTGCTAGGGCTGGCTTTGAACCCTGATCTTCAGATCTCAACCTCCTGAGTAGCCAGGATTACAGGCATAAGCTACCAACACCTGCTGAGACTGGTCTTTTCTGGACCTAGCCCCCAAATGTCTTTTTGTCAAAGGTGACCCCCCTCCCCCACCGTGTGCTAGGACCATGCATTCATTCAGTGATCATTTCTACTATCTGGGAAGTGGTTGCACAACTGATGGATGTATTTGTGTGAGCCAATATGCATGTGTGGCTCTGTGCTCCTTGCACGTCTGTGTGCGTGCACAGGTCCATTCCTGCAGACAGTATGCATGTGCAAAGGATGGTTGTAGATTCACCTGAATGTGTGTGTGTGTGTGTGTAGTGGACATCATCCATGCATGTACACTCTGCTCAAGAATCTCAGCTCTTCAGGTTATTTATTGGCCTTGCTGCCCCTCCTACCTCCCAGGGCAGGCAGGCTATGACTCAACTCCAGGGGACACAGGGTGGGTCCCCTGTCCTCAAGGTAAAACCAGATGCATGATGCAATTTATGCACCAGCTGAGGCCAGCTCTTGCCCCTCCCCCCCTGCTCTCTTCTTCTCCCCCCTTCCTGTTCTTTCCCTAAGCTTGTTCCCAGCTATGACACCAGTGAATTCCTCTTGTAGCCTGGCCTATGACAGCATTTTTCTGAACGTTCTCTCTGCAAGGAAACCCAGGCAGATGTGGGAGAGCATTACCTCCAGAAAGAACAATGGAGGTGAAGATCAAGCTGTAACAGCGATCTGCTTTAAAAGTTGACCATCAAAAGATTCTGGAGAAGGACATGTAGTTTTTTTTTTAATTCTCATTATTAAATCAGAAAAAGAAAGGTACAGTATACTCGCCTGCCAGTCATTTTAATGGACTCACGGTCCTGTTTAGTCCTCTGTACAGGAATTGGGGACAAAAAATTGAAAAACAAAAAGCAACCCTTAGGTATGTGAATAATCTGTAAATGTTTATTAATTGGAGTTATAAGGAGGTTTTTTAAATCAGAGAACCTGAGAACATTAGGAAATTACAGACAGACTCGTGATAAGTGTCAGACAGAACATATGAAGCCAGCCCTTCCGCCATCTGAGAAGCATTCAATCTTTGTTAGGGATTCTGGTGGCAGATTAAAAAAAAAGGAGGCTCTGGCTCCCCCTTGTGTTGAAAAATAAACCTGCAACCCCGTTTACTTTTATTACTTTTTTTTTTTTCTTTTTTGGAGTTATAATTCTCATCCTAGTCCCTGAGACCCAGAAACAATTACTTCCCCAAATGATTGCAAGCGCTCTCCAAGAAACCATTTCCACCCCATCAATGACTCTCAAGGACCCACTTTGAACACCAGCTCTGAATTCTCCCCCTCTTCAGATCCCACACACTCCATTCTAGGAAACTGGCACCAGCCCAACATGGAGCTCGCCTGAATTCTCCGTCTTTGAAGCATTCACTTAAACAAGTGGATCCTCCTCTCTCCTCTCCAGGCTTAGAGGATGAGCATTTGCTGAAAAGCTCCATTCCCCCACTTCATAGACATGTTGTTTTTTTTTTTTTTTCTGCAACGTACTTGCTACCTCTATTGCACATGACACCTCTACCTCTACCTCCCTCTCCTCCTGGCGGACGACCATCCGCTTTCCTGCTTTAACTAGTTGGCCCGCTAACCCACCTTTATGGTGATTTTTCTAGGAAAGACTAGATCTGAGACGTAAATGATACACCTCAATGTACAGTCGGGCTTAAGCTCAGGTTTAGTGTGCAGGCAGGAGGTACGGGACGGCTATGTGAAGAGGAGATATATCCACAGTGTGTGTAGGGGCAGGGGGTGGAGTTGACAGAATGCATCCTGGGGAAGGAGAACCTGGCGGGGCGGCGCTGGTTTGTTTACTTGGCTTTGCCCACAGGTCCGATGGATACAGGGTCCGTCTGCACTTGGGCATCCAACATCCGCTTTGGTCCCTGGAGAAAAACAAAGCAGAGGTAGAAGACTGCTGAAGGCACTTAACAGGAGCAACAGTCATAAGTTCATTAGTGCATGTGTGTGTGTGTGTGTGTGTGTGTGTGCAAGAGGGCTTAAACTCAGGGTCTGGGTGCTGTCCCTTAGCTTCTTTTTTTGCTAGTTAATTGGAAGTAAGAATGTTTTATGTATTAATAACATAGCGTGTGTTACTCCTGGCTGTCACAAGAAGTAGAAATGTAAGCTCCACCCTACAGCATAGAGCAGTACAGGGTGTGGTATAGGCCCCAGCGTAATACAGGTGCACACAGTAGATAATATGCACCGGATCAGCTGAATGGGCTTCTGATGTCACTTCCTGGGAGAACTGTCTAAGGGGTTTAAGACCCTCGCTCCTTCCTTAACCCCAGGAACGAAGGGACACTACAAAGTCATGGAGTCTAAGTTTGTATGTGGACACAGTACTTGTGGTGAGCTACCTGCTGGAAAACTATTAATAATAATGATCTCCAGTGGTCAAGTTGGACCCTTCATCCTGTCTAGGACACTTGTGGGGTGTGATAACCAGAACCTGAGGCAGTGGACTGCTTGGTGACAGGGGTGGTCAGGAACGCTCAGAGCCGTGCCCACATCTGTCATCCCTGAGGAGACTCTGTGAGCCACCCCCTCCTCTGCTGGCCTCCGCCAGGCCATGAGGCTGTGTCTGAGGACTCCTCAACCTTGCTCAGGCTTTGGGGGCTGCCGTGGCTCTTGGATGGGATGTGGTGGTCCCCGGGCAGCCTGGGAGATTGTTTCTGCTCACGTTTGCTCTTGAGAGCCAGGGCCCTCTTCACTGCTCATCTGTCTGAACTTCAGCCAGGGGGTGGAGTGCTAGGCCACTCCTGGCTCCACATTTGCAAGGAAGTGTGAGCATTTGTTGTCTGACTCAGCACCAGCCTCTCAGGACACCACCACCACTCTGAGGCGGCTGGCTAGGCCCTGTCATCAGTGACCCTTCCCAGGAAAATGTCCTGGCTGGGCATCATTCTTAGGACCTCATTTCTTCTCAGGCTGACCCTGTGAGGGGGTCCCGAGGAGCCCCTCCTTGGAAAAATACTTGAGGCTCAGAAAGGTGACCCAGCCTGCCAGTGACAGCGCTACAGTCGCGTTTACATCCTGGAGCATGCTGTCTAACTGCACCCATGCACGTCAGTTGTCAAGGGTGATGCTCTTCTTCTGCTGTGGAAGTGAGTGCTGACATTTAAAATGAGCTGCTTTCCCAGGCCACCCTGTCCTTCACATCTGTCCCACGGCCCTGCAGGACAACACACAGCTTCTCTCTCTTCTCCAAACACACCAAACTCACCCAGCTCAGTCCACCCCCGGACTGGTCCCACAAAAGCGTCCCCGGCCTCCTGTCTGGCACCACCGACCCTCCTGGACCCCCCAATTCAAAGCAGCACATGGCTCTGCTCCCCATGCCTCTCCATTTTGGAAGTGGAAATATTGCCCAAAATCGGGGAGGGGGGGAAATCCACCTACCAGGCCCTTGAGGAAGCCTCCAAGGGACTGCCGCCGCTTCTCGGGTCTCTTCTGGGGCTTGTCCCCATTCTGCAGTGAGTTCGAATCCACCCTGGCCTGCTGGGCACACTGGGCAGGCTCTCTGGCCTCCTGTTTGCCGCTCTTCGGCTTGTTCCCCTCGGGCGCTGGCTTCTTCTCCTTCGAGGACCCCTCTTTGCCCTGCTGGGCTGCCCCCGTGGGCTCCGGCTCGGGGGGCGTGGTGGCCTTCTCTGTGGAGTTGGAAGTCTGCAGCAAGTTCAAACACAGCCCATTTTCAGTGGTTGAGACCCCGTTCTCCACAGGGGAATGGATCTTACAACAGGGATGCTCACACTCCCAGGAGTTTTAGGTGAAATGAAAAACAAGAAAGCTATGCAAGGTCGCACACAGCGGGCGGCACACTGATTTCTCTGAGGATGCAGTACTTAATTTTGTGCATCCCCAGCAAGCATTCCGTTCTCTTTTTTGGTAGACTTTGGATTTATCTGAGAAGTTACCCTTCTCCCCTGTCTATTCTGCATGGTCTAGGGAAATGAATCCTGCCCCTGGACAAGACCATGTGACTCTAGCCTGGCCAATCAGAGCACCGCACTGCATTGGCTAACTATGATTGGTTCAAGGTAGTCAAAGCCAGACAGAAGCTTTGCTAAAGTAACCCAGAGGAGCCTTGTCATTTTACTGGCTTAGAACCTGATGTTTGCAGATAATAATGAATGATTCTCTGGTCTCCTTGTCTGTGGATTCAGTCTAGAATGGAAACCTGCTGGCTGCTTGAGTTCTGGATGGGGTTGGGAACGGGCAGAGGAGGCAGGCAGCTCACAGGTGGTGAACGGTTATGATCTGTGATCAGTGCCAGAAGAATGGAGAAGGAGACCTAACAATGACTGGTGGGTTTGGAAGGGCTCTCAGGGGAGGGAGGGGAGATCGGTGCCAAGTGACCGAGGACCTGCAGCTACTCCTTGCTGCGTCTGCGGAGCCCAACCCAGCGCCTGCTGCTGAGTCTGGGGCTGGGGCACCAGTTGGCTGTGGCTCAGAATCACATGGGAAATGAGGCTGCAGAGAGAGAGAGAGAGGGCACAGCAGCTACACCCACCACCATGGAGTTCAAGCTCACTTACGTGGTAGCCAGAGTCTTTCCCATCTGGTTCTCCAGAGCGGGTGGTCCCTCCGTCCCCTCTCACTGACTACAATAACAAGCACACGGTGACCCTTCAGCTATCACAGGCATGGTGAGTGCCAGGAGTGCTGGGCAACTCTGAAATGGACGATCTTAGTCATTTGTTCTAGAGATTCGGGATCAAGGAAACTCGAAGACCACGGTAGGTGCAGTGGCTCACATCTGTATTCCTCCTGTTTGGGAGGTACAGATTGAGGATCACAATTTGAGGCCAGCCCAGGTAAGACTCCATCTCAACCAATGGCTGGGTGCATTGTATCTGTCTGTCCACCCCAGTGACACAGAGAAACACACATCTGGGAAGAGCAACATCCAAGCCAGCCTGAGCATAAGTAAGACCATACTGCAAATAGATAGATGGCCTTTTGGAAAATAATCAGGGGAAAGAGAAGCTGGGGGCATGGTTCAAGTGGTAGAGCACCTGCCTTTTAAGCACAAGGTCCTGAGTTTAATCTCCATTAGCACCAGAGAATAACCTTCCTGAGAGATAGGGATCTGGATATGGAGCCTCCTTCTCTTCACTCCACCTCCACATCCTGTCAGTGGCAGGGGGCTGAGGGGTGTGTGTGTGTGTGTGTGTGTGCCGTACCATCTGGGTAAAGGGAGAGCCTGAGAGATTGACAAAACAGAACCAACAACTTTTGCTCCTATCTCAGGGCTGGGAAGGTAGGCGTTCACAGAACCATGGGAGTCCCCCAGTCCTGGCTGCAAAAGGTTCCACACTCAGGGCACATGGGGCCTGCTCAGCACAGGCCCCTGCCCCGCTGAGTGTACATCACCGACAATCGGTGATATTGCTGTTATCGTTAGTACTGACATCGCATGATGGCGATGCCCCGAAGCATGGGAGGAAGGCAGACATTGCCCAGATAAATACTTCCTCAGAAACTCTTCCTTTAAAGAGCAGATCATCACCAGTACATTAATATTCAGGGAAAGACTGGGATGAGGGAGACTCCTCCCTGCGTCTGTTCTCCCCAGATAGTAATTCTGAACAGTTTTGATTATACCTATTAGATTGCGTGTAATCAGCAAGAACCTCATTTCTTGGCAATCTCTTGATTTAAGCCTTTAATTGGCCCAATATTAAAGTTCACAGTCTCTCTCTAAGCCTGAGGATATTACTCCAGCCAAGGTTTTCCTATAAAACTAATGGTCCATGGAAAGAGCTGTCAGGAAGAGTTAAAAAAAAAATAACGCCACGGAGAGGGGAGAGGTGTTGTTATATGTACAGATGCTAACTCCCAAACCTACACAGCTCTACCTTCAACCAGTTTGGTTCTGAGTCTGCCTACTTGGTTGGTGGGTGCATGAATTCAGCATCCTGGTCATTTACTTTATAAAGACAAACTTGCACATTAGATATCTACTTTCCTGGTGTGCAGCTGAATTAATATGCATAAGGGTGCTTTGTTATTTAGCAAATGCTGACATCTTAGATGCTTCTTGTAATTACTCCAAAGCACAGGGGGGTCTGTAGGATTTCTGTGAAGTGGTGCTTCTACATGTGAGCTATATGATGTTAGGTCTTACAGGATTTTGTTTTCTCTTAACTCAAATACAAGATTTTTATTTTTATGAGAAGTTGATTTCTGGAAAGAAAATTGTTTCCTTAGGATTTGGGCAATGTATTTGGTTTGAAATAAAATTATTCAACTGAGAGTCATTCTGCCATGGAATATTAAAATATGTGAAAGAAACAAGAGTGACAAGAGGGTTGAAGGTAGAAAACCAATAATACGGTGACTGGAGAAACCATACAGAGCAGTGTTTGCAATTCGGTTTTCTACTGACTCATTCCCTCCTTCTCCCTCCCTCCTTCCTGTCTTCCTTTCTATTTTTTCCTCCTTCCTTTGCTCCCTCCCTCCTTCCCTTTCTCTTTGTCTCTCTCTCTTCCTCTCCCTCTCTCTCTCAGAGGTCTCATTGCATAGTCCAGGCTGACCTAGAACTCATGACCCTCCTATCTCAGCAACCCAAATGCTACGATTAAGGGAGTATGTCATCCTGCCTAGGTTAAATCAATTATTTGCTTTAAATAATATATTTTTTTCTTTTTTGCCAGTCCTAGGTCTTGAACTCTGGGCCTGGGTGCTGTCCCTGAGCCTCTTTGTGCTCAAGGCTAATCCTCTACTAATCGAGCCACAGCACCACTTCCAGCTTTTTCTGAGTAGTTTATTGAAGATAAGAGTCTCACAGACCTTCCTACCTGGGCTAACTTCAAACCTCTATCCTCAGATCTCAGCCTCCTGAGTAGCTTGGATTACAGGTGTGAGCCACCTGTGCCTAGCTAAATCGTATTTTTCCAATACTATTTAAAATGAATTTGAAACATTCACTTATTTGGCTCCAAGGAAGCCCCTCAAAATTTCTGCTGTGCTTCACAGCAGGCAGGCACATCACTATTTACAAGCCCTTCAAGGAGGCTTTCTGCCCCCTGCTGCATAAATCCAAGACTTTAAATCAATTTGGAAGCCAAAAGCTACTTCCTGAAAAATAATCCCTGGGGCTGACTTCCAGGAGTAGGGTATCTTAACACGTGTGCCTAAAAGTGAGTGGCTAAAGGCCTTCAAGAGAGGGAGAAGCCATGTGTGAGAGGTCTGGGACCCACTGGGTCTGGGCATGGAGTCGGATTCCCCCCTCGCCATGGCGTGTATTCTCCATGAGGATGGAGAGTCCTCACGATGCAAGATCACTGCTGAACCTCTACTGTCCAGAATGTAAGTGAGCACTGGCTAATTCTTTGTTGAACAAAGTAAATGAATGAAAGAAGAATTGGAAAAATCTAAATGTCCACCAGTGGAATAAAGGTTACTCTGAATGGGCAATACCAGCCAAAGAACTTGTAAACAGTGTAGCGGTTTTATATCAGGGGTTACAAACTCACACGTCCACAGGGACAGAGCCAGCCAAGGAATGAGCTGGCCTGGCCTAACTGCAGGGAGCAGTGGGAATATTTGTGGACTGCAAACCCCACAACTTAATCACAAAAGAGAAAAAGGACAATCAGGATGGCTGGAGTTCTAAGTGAAAAGCCCAGCAGCCATGGAAGCTTTGGAGCAGTGTTTGAGAGTTAAAAGGAGGGGCTGGGAAGGTGGCTCAGTGGTAGAGTGAGTGCCTCGCTCGAATGCAGGAGGCCCTGGGTTTGATTTCTCAGCACCACATAAGCAGAAATAGCCAGAAGTGGTGCTGTGGCTTTAGTGGTAGAGCGCTAGCCTTGAGCTGAAGAGCTGAGGGACAGCGCCCAGGCCCAGAATTCAGGCCCCATGACACACACACAAAAAAAAAAGAGTTAAAAGGAAAGAATAATATTCAACTTCTGAGGTAGTACAAGCAGCGAACATGACAAACCTGTTATTCTTCTCCACTGAGGGCTGCTGAGGAAGACAGTGTCCTCTCTTCCCTCTGCCCCTATTCTATGGAGAGCCAATCTCAAAGAATTTTCATATCCAATCCTCTCCCCACCCAAACATTAAGACTTTTCTAGCTTTGGCTGCTGGAAAAGTGCATCTAATAGACACCACTGGGAGTAAACTGAGGTAATGTGGAGCCTCATTCAAACTTGAAAGTTTATTGGGGATGGATGCAAGGTGCGGGTTAGAAAGTTCATGCATTATTCAGTTTCTTTTGTTTTCCTCTCTTTTAAGTCAAGTTGATTGGAAGGGACTGTTACTCTATTTTCTATTTTTTTTCTGTATTTCTTAACTAGCCAGCATCCAGAAAATGGATTGCTCATGGTATTTTGGTGAAATATTGGTGATCTCATTTATCATTCAGATGAGTTGCCAGAACCTGGTTGATGTGTGTTCTTGGCCTGGCATAAAAATTGGCTTAGACACTGCAAATGGTGAACCTGGTGCTAAATTGTAGAGCTAGTGGCCAGCAATAGAGATGGCCCAGCCATACATAGTACCCCTGACCTACTTTATACCTTTGACTCTGCGAGAAACCAACACAAAAAAGGAAATGAGCCCTGCCAACAATCTCTGACCGAATTATTTCTAATACACTTCAGCCCCCGCTGGCAAGGGGTTTACTGTGTTTCATTTTGTTTGTGGACTAGAAAGAACTCTTTAAGGGTCTGATCTTATGAAACTGGAGAATTTTCTTTCTCTAAGGATTAAACTCCCAGATACTGAAAATAAAGACACATTATAATTAAGTTTGTGTTTTTCATTAAAAGAGAATTAAATCAATGACCTTTCACTTGAGGTTTGGTTAACCTGCTGATTTTAGGTCCTGGCTGTTGAAGTCATATAATGTGTGTATACTTTTGTTGTTGTTTATTTTTTGTTTTGATACCAGTACTGGGGTTTGAACTCAGGGTCTTAAATTCTTATTCACTTGGCTTTTCCACTCAAGGTGTGTGCTTTATCTCTTGAGCCACACCTCCAATTCTAGCTTTTTTTTTCTGGTTTACTAGAGGTAAGAGTCTCTTGAATTTATCTGTTCTGGTTGGCTTCGAACTATGATCCCTAGATCTCAGCTTTCGGAGTAGCTGGGATTACAGTCAGGAGACACAAGGGCCCAGCAGAGATAGGAGTCTCATGGACTTTCCTGCTTAGACTGGCTTTGAACCATCATCTTCAGATCTCAGCCTCCTGAGTAGCTAGGATTACATGCCTGAGCCACTGGCTCAGTCATTCCTTGAGAAAAGGTGTTACTATGTTTCCTAGACTGGTCTCAAATCTTACAATTTTCCTATCTCTAAGCCTGAGATTACAGGTGTACACCACCATACCTACATAATTTGGACTTTTAACACAATCCTTAAAAATACCATGTGTCCGTTTGTTTGTTTTGTGTGTCAGTTGCAGGACTTGAACTCAGGGCTTGGTTGCTGTCCCTGAGCTCTTTTACTCAAGGCTGGCACTCTACCACTTTGAGTCACAGCACAACTTCCAGTTTTCTGGTAGTTAACTGGAGAAAAGAGTCTCATGGCCTTTCCTGCCCAGGCTGGCTTTCAATGGCTATCCTCAGACAGACCTCAGCCTCCTGAGTGCTAGGATTACAGGTGTGAGCCACTGGCACCTGGCCTGCCTTATGTTCTTTAGGTAAATAAAAATATTTGAACCAAAGGGAACTCAATATTATCACCCTAATGAGAAATGCAGTTTCATTTGCCACCCACAGAAGGAAACTTTAAACACACACAACATGAAAGGCAGCAAGTACCATTAAGTTCTAGGACGCCTAGGACCCTTGGCCACCTCATTCTTAGTTAACAAGGGAACTGGGTGGGGTTACAGAGGGGTTAGAGTATTAGCAGCACACTTCCTCTACGATCCTCTAGGATGGAGCTGCATTGCACCATTCATGTTTGTTTCTGTGCCCCAAGTGTCACCTTCAATCCCGTGCAGGCGGGCACTTACCATTTGTCTGAGAAACGCCATCAGGGAGCTCTTCCGTGGTTGGCTCTCTTCTTCTTGGAGCTTCACTTGTGTGGGTTCAGGCGCAGCCTCGCCTTCAGTGAGGTCCACTGTCTGCAAGGTGCACTCTACTTTCTCAAACCTTACAGTCTCTACTGCTGAGTCACACACCACCTGAGTTGTTTTGCCAGGTAAGGAGAAAGTGAAACAGAAAGCCAATCCAGGGCAGGTGTCTCCCCCCAACACGTTTTCTACAGGGTCTCATGATGGAGCAGCTGTTCTTCCTAGTCAGACCTTCTAGAAGTGACCCTCTTCAAGTGCGGGATGTGTCTCAAACAGCCAGCAGCTGGCTGACTGACGGGTGGACTTCCCTGGAGATAGAAGGCCCCCTGGGGCACAAGGCATTGCCAGGAGGTCCCTTTTGTGTGTGTGTGGAACTTCACTCGAGCAATCCCAGCACTTGGGGCTACCATAGAGGCAACGACCCCTGGCCCCCTCACACCTCTTCTGAGACTGCGGCTTTGCAGGAGGACATTGCAAAGGCCTTGACACCTGCACCTTCTCACCCGTCGCTTACTGCTGGGGCTTGGCTGAGGCGCAGGCTTCCAGAATGAACCTGACAAACAGGAGCTACCAACTTGTCAGTGGCTCCTTCTCACTCCCTGTCAGCTCAGATCTACCAAGAGAACCTGGAAGAAGGCTGACTTGAACTCTGGGCCTGGGCGCTGTCCCTCAGCTCTTCAGCTCAAGGCGCGTGCTCTACCACATGAACCACAGCGCCGTTTTCGGTTTTCTGGTGGAGATAAGAGTCTCATGGACTTTCCTGCCTATGCTGGCTTTGAACCGTGATCCTCAGATCTCAGCCTCCTGGCATGAGCCACCAGCACCTGTGTTTGTCATCTCCTATTATCAACAAACATGGAGAAGTACCCGACACCAGGTTAGCATGCAGAACACCCCAAAGCTTGGCAATAAAACCACAGGAGCACATTCTAGTACTTCTTAAGACATGTTGTGACTTCTGTTTCCCTTCTAGTGTGTTAATAAGCAATGGCCCGCTAGGTGAGAAAAAGGGACAGTAAGGATGATTGCGAATGGATCTCAAGTCGTGGTAGTCCATGACAATAAAAAGAAAGAAAGAAAGAAAACCACTGGATTGGCCAAATGTACGTGTGAATTAGCTCCTGGGGCCCCAGCCTGACTCTAGGAAGCCAGGACGAGCTGGGCTGGTGGCTGGATACGGATGCACTCTAGAAAGTAAGTCTTAGGCACAGGGCCAGGGCACAAGCCACAGGGCACAAACAGGGGGTGCAGGCTGTATGATATTGGCTGTTGAGGTCCTCAGGCTCTGGAGCAAGCTGCCTGGACCTAAACCTTGCCTTTCTCCTTCGCAGGCCTTGTCTGAGGTCATGCTGTCTTCTCCCCCCTGCTCAGTGGCACACTATATACCCTAGAACGGTTCTGAGGACTGACCCAGCCATACACATCGAGTCTCTTGGTCTCTGCCCAGGCACATAATAAACATTCAATTAATGGTAGTGGTTGTTACTTGTGTTAATGTTAGGTCTTTTTACTCCTTAAGCATGAATTATCCAGAGTCACCCATCCATACATCCATTATTTAGAGATGATTATGCTAATAACTCCCTCTTACAATATCTTCCAGTGTAGGCATTGGTTATATAGAACCTCAAGAAACAGTCTATATTTTACAAAGAAAAGCGTAAATGGTTGAAGGAGTTGGCCCAAGTCATGTTCAAGGGATTATAGGCATTTCAAGGAGTATGGTCTTTTCTGCTGGCAACTGAATAGTAGACTAGCCAGGAAGATGTGGAACAAAGAGTTTGAAAGCAGGGTCTTCTGTTTTTTTTTTTCATGGGTTCTACAGTGTCTTTAAGAACTTTGGTGCTTTATGTCCTTTGGTTTTGCTATGCTTAGTATACTGGATTTTCACCCTGCTGTTACCTCCTGGTCATAAAACAGCAGTTACAATTCCAGGCATCACATCCTCAATTCAATGTCCTGAGATGGAAGGATTTTGTTTTTTTTTGGGGGGTGGTGGTCACAGTAAAGAATTTGCTATAAGTGAACTTCTGAGTTCTGATATTTTATTTCAGGATATATAATTTTCATTGGCCGAAACTAAGCCATATCCTTACCCCTAGATTAACTAGTGGTGAAAAAATTAGGATGACTGGTCTAGATGAATCCCTATCAAATACTTTGGGGAAGGTAGTTGCTGACCTTGCTTCTGATCAAGGGTCAAAGGATGAAAGATGGGAAGTAATACACAGAATTTGATTTATAGACCCCAGATTTTAATGGTTCTGTGTTTAGACATTATGATTCTCTCTTTTTTTGGTGCTGGACCAGGGGCTTGAACTCAGGGCCTGGGTGCTGTCTCTGAGCTTCTATTTTATTTTGTTTTTTGCTCAAGGCTAGCACTCTATCGCTTGAGCCACAGCCTCACTTCTGGCTTTTTGGTGCTTAATTGGAGTTAAGAGTCTCACAGACCTTCCTGCCTGGTCTGTCTTTGAACTATGATCCTCAGATCTTAGCCTCCTGAGGAGTTAGGATATCATAATTAATTTTCTGTGTACCTGGAGGAAAAATTCCACTCCTCATAAAGGATCAGATCAAATCACTGCAACTTTGTAAACCATCCTTATTTGAATGACAAGGATTCCATGGGTTCCTCATTCCAAATGTGGGGAGATGTCAACTTATAAAAGGACATGAGTTCATTCTCTGAAACACAATTATTTCAATAGGCAAAAAACAGGGGTCTGGAGAGACTTCTATTTCCTTTAAAGACAGGCCAAGAAGCTGACTTTCAGTAGACAAGGAAAATCCCAACACCCAGCGTGGAGCCCCAGGACAATCTGATTGGCACATTCAGACATAAGAATTCAATTTTTTATTTGGCTACACTGTATGATTTCCTTCCAGGCTACAGCTTTGGAAAGAGTCTTTTCCTAGTTAGAGTACGTGGCTACATCTGCACATTTTAATTTTGGGTTTGATGGATATAATGAAAATCAGATTTTTTGCTCTATTTTTATTTCCTTTATTTTTTGTACTACAGTTCAGAATGAAATCCTTCCTGTTTAACTTCAGGATGGGATATGGTACCCTGTGCTTAAACAAGGCAGGTGTGCTCAATGCACGTAGTGTACATCTCGGTGCAGGGTTTGGCTTAAAGCCTCACATGTCCCAATCTGCTTGCTTTCAAAATTTCATTTATGCACTTGTCACTAGAACTGGGACTTTGGAAATGACTAGCCCAAAAGACTTCCTCTATTTAAACTTCACCTATAACATAATAAAACTGTTATTTAAAGTCTTTTTTTAGAAGTGTGTGTGTGTGTATGTGTGTGTGTGAGAATATGAGGAATTAAACTATTGAACTTAGGGCCTTGAGCTCTTGCTCAGTTGTTTTGCTCAAGGCTGGTACCACTACCACTTGAGCTATACACCTCCATTTCCAGCTTTTTGCTGGTTAATTGGAGATAAAACTTTTCTGGACTGGCTTTGAACTTTTGATCCTTAGATCTTAGTCTCTTGAGTAGCTAGGATTACAGGCATGAGCCATCAGTACCTATCTAAAGTTTTAAAACTATTATTACTATTATTATAACTACTACTATTATTATTTTGTGCCAGCATCAGGTTTTGAACTCAGGGCCTCATGCTCTTTCTCAGATTTTCATTCTAGGTTGTCACTCTACCACTTGAGCCACCTCTCCACATCTTGAGAATCTTATAAGACTCTTTGTTTCAGTTCATAATGTCACTAGTAGATTACAAAGATTGAGACATCGTGCTTCCTATTTCCCTCATTAGTTTCTAGTTCTCAGATTTTGCTCTGGGGTAAAAGCCATCCCTCCCTTTAACACTATGCGATTGGATGACACTGGCTGGACAATCTTAGCCAACAAACATGCAAGCTCCTTGGGTATCATGGCTTAGGGCTGGAAGCAGTTGGCACAAGGTATTATTTTTGCATGTATTCCCTCTCCCTTCCTTCGAGATGTATGGGGACCTGCTGTAATGACAGAACAGGACTCTCTGTGACCACAGCTACACAGACTCATTAGGAGCTGCATGACTATGGCCTCACCCAGGGCGCTATCTGCTCTGCTACTAGAAGTGTTCATCCTACTAAGAACCACATCTTCATGCTGTGCATCAGCAAAAGGAGGCCACAGGAAGCAGCCACAGCCAACCTAGACCGGACCTATGGCATGCGTGGGACAGAAAAAGAAACCTTGGGTGTTACACGCTACCAGAAGTGGGGGCTTGCTTGTTGTTGTAACATAACACGGCAAAGACTGACTACTGGAGTGTAGGGACACATTTGCGCCAAGGAAGGAGAACAAATTCCAGGGCATAGACACAGGTTGCTACTGGACAGATCTCCCCGTCATTCTGGGCTAGGTTATGTGATACTGGTTGGGAAGGGGAGGCCGGGGTGTTGGCGGGTAGGTTCCTGAGCAAGCTTTATCTGAAACAGGTTCTTCTGCTAGAGATTAGAACTAATATATTCCGTTTTCTTTTCTATCCAGGTTGAGTTTTCCTTCACATAAGAGATGCCACAAAAGTATCTATTGTCTTGGTTCTTACACATTATTGGCAAGGAAATATTGTAATTATTATTACTTAGATCACATACTCAATTAATCAATGGGTAAAACAATTTCAGGTTTAGGAGAAGCTGTAAACTTCTATGGGCTTTGAAAATCTTAATTTTCTTTTGATAACTTTGTTGAAATCCATCTGATCCAGATTTGGAAGATACAGGTGAATTTTGCACTGATGAAAGTTGTGGACAAGAGAGATTTAAAAATAAACTCAACCACATGTTCCCCAGAGAAGGCAGTCATTAAAGTATTCTTGTAGGGCTGGGAAGGTGGCTCAGTGGTAGAGCGCTTGCCTTGCATGCTCGAGGCCCTGGGTTCGATTCTTCAGCACCACGTAAGCAAAAAGAAAAAAAAGCCGGAAGTGGCGCTGTGGCTCAAGTGGTAGAGCGCTAGCCTTGAGCTGAAGAGCTGAGGGACAGCTCCCAGGCCCAGAGTTCAGGCCCCACGACCGGACCCCCCCAAAAAAAAGTATTCTTGTAATATATCTACTGGGATTTGATTGTCCAGTTGAGATTTAGAGTGAGTGTCACATGCTGTGTTACCACATGTTGGTAGCTACTGAACCTTGGACTTTCAAGAAAATAACCAGAAAATCCATCAGTTCTAGAATCATGAGAAGCCTGAACTTTGCTGAGCTGCTAACTTTAGTACAAGGAATGGAAGAGGAAAGAAGAAGAAGAGAAGGAGGAGGAAGGGAAAAGGAACAGTAAACAATAAAACCAGCACGTAGATCTTACATTTTTCTCCTAACCATAATCACACTACAGCCATTCAGTTTTGATTTGCTGTCATAGGTAACATTTGTGAAACATATTTGGATTTTCAACATCTGTTTGACTCCAGCAACTAAATAAAAACAAAAACACACCTGCCACCCATGGCAAGTAAGCAAGAGACACCAGACAGATCCAAACATCTTTTGCTTTGGCAAAACGATCGTGTTCTGTTTCTATCCTAAGAAGCTGTGAATTCATTTATCTTCATTTGTAAAATTCTCAAAGACTGTGCTTATTTCAGGGCAGAGAGCTGCTGTCTTAGGCCTGAAATTTATGAAGGCCATCTACTGATCTCCCTAGAAGATGTTTCAAAAAGATGCTTTGTGGGTGTGTATGTGGTACCTCCTATAGTTCCAGCCTTTTTGGAAATAAATATAGTATAATTTAAAAAAATTGGCCATGTCTTAAGAAGACTGAAGGTTTGTAATATCTGGCCCTTTAATCAAGACCAGACAGATGCAGTTCCCCTCTATGGAGTCAGCTCTCCAGCCGAGACCAGCAGTTCCAGCCTCGATTGCTACAAGATGTTCTTAATGCAACTACCTGCCCTGGGTACCGCCCTGTGTTAGTATGGAGGAATGTGTGTCACCATGGAAACAAAGATGAAAGCCCATCGAAGGCGGAACGAAGCGGGAGATGATGCATCATTATCCCTCAAGGGTGTTCAAAGCCATTCCATGTGAAGTAGACTCTTTCAGCCTCTAAATGATTCCAAATGGTGGAAGCGTAAGCTCTGATTTTTGCATTTATTTTGCATCAATCCAATAGGAGTTAAAAAAATCCCTCTCCGCAGTGTCCCTAACCACGGGAAAGGGTGAAAGAGTCTACGGCAGGTGAATTAACAACCCGGGAGACAGGCAGGACCCAGAGCCCGCGAGCCGACCGGGCCCAGGGTCCGACAGCCATGAGCGCGGGGTGGTGGTCGAGCGTCACTTACGTTCTCCTCTGCACCTGTGGACACTGATTCCTCCTTAACCGACTAAAAGAAAGAGACAAGCGTGAGCGTCAAGACGTTGCACGCGCGCACACACACACACAGTTGCACAAGAGCCGGGGGCGAGCCGGGTTTCCCGCCCGACCTCGTTCCCACGTCGTCGCGTGGAGTCGGCCACGCGGGCGTTCGGGAAGGAAGCGAAGCGCACGCAGACGCGGGCAGCGCAGCAGCGAAGGCGCGAGCCACGTGAGTCACGGAAGTTCGTACGTAAGTTACGTAAGGAAGGAGGCGGCGCACAGACGGGGAGGCGGCCGGCCGTGGAGGACCCGCCCCCCGCCCCCTGTCCTTCCACGCCAGGTAGCTAAGGAAAGAGGCAAATCCCGCTCGTCGCTCGGTGCCCAAAAACAAGGACTCGGCTCGGTAACAGATCCAGAGGCATTCTCCCACGGCCTTTGGGGAGCAGTGCAGGGTCAAGGCTGCTCAGAACCGTGCCACAGGCCGGGGGTCAGGGCGGCCGGAAGGCCTTGTGGTGAGCCGCGGGGACTGGGGTCCGGCACCCCCGACAACTCCAGCGCTGCGGTGAGCTGAGCTCCGCCCCGGGCCCCGCCCCTCGCCCGCCCCTCGCCCCGCCCCCATCGCCCCGCCCCCATCCCGAGCCCCGCCTCGCCCCGAGCCCCGCCTCGCCCCGAGCCCCGCCCCCTCGCGTCCTCACGCCTCCTTCTCTCCCGGGCGGCCCAAGCTATTTGGTGGGCGAGTGCTGGTAGTTACCGACCACGCTGACATTTAATACGTGTAATACATTCAATAAGAGTGATACCAGGGGCTCCAGGGCCGCCTGCGACTCTTCCCTTAGAGTCCGCGTTGTAAACTTTCCCCCGCATCCATCTTACTACTGAGATCTGCACGCCCACCCCCTATAAAACATTCCGGAAGACATTTATAAAGATGTCTTTCAAGCTGGTCCCTTGTATCCGCGTCCCCAAATAGCAAGTCCTATGATCGGTGCCATGCTGTAAGAGTATAGGTTCTTGGTCAATAAAAAATGCGCTTTTTTTTTTTTTTGGTGGCAGTACTGGGGCTTGAACTCAAGGCCTAGGTGCTGTCCCTTAGCTTTTTCATTCAAGGCTAGATTCTACCACTTGAGCCACAGCTCTCCTTCTGGCTTTTTGGTGGTTAATTGGAGCTAAGAGTCTCATGGACTTTACTGCCTGGGCTGGCTTTCAACCATGATCTTCACATCTCAGCCTCCTGAGTAGGGAGGATTACAAGAATGAGCTACCAGTGCCTTGATTACAAAGCTGATTAAAAAAATCACCACAATTTTTTAAATAGAACCGAAAACAAACATCCCTATTATATTTCCTAGTAGAATACTGACTCTTCCATGATGAGGGTCATGGCTTTAGTGACAGAGTCCCAGCTTGGCAAGCTCAAACCCGAGTTCAAATCCCAATACCACCCACACGAAAAACCCAACCCCACACCACAAGCTAGGAAAGCAAAGGAGCTGGTTACTAGGCTTTCAGTGTCTAGTGCTTCACACCGCCTGGCATGCAAACCTGTGTGTCAAGAAAATGACGGCGCTCTTCTTTCTTGTTGGATGTAAGAGAGAAATATAAGATAGAGGTGATTTGGTTTAAGTTTCTCTGACTGATTGTTTGAAATAATTGGCTAAGGAGCCACAGTTGAATGAAAAGATAGGAGACAGCAAGTCTGAATAGGCGAATTCCCATAATTATGTTGGTCCTGGCTATTATTTCTTCTGGGAACAGCTTAAACTTTGAACCTTACAGATTCTAATCATTGAAGAAGTATAGGCAATGGCCTAGCGGCTCTCCCAGCCTGGACAGCACAGATCAATAGAGCAGATGACATGAAGATTGAGAAAGTATAGCTAACCATTACCGATTCTGGCTGGCTGGGAAGAGAAAACAGAGTCTCCCCCCCCCCAACTCCCCGGATTCAACTTGCCAGGGTGAGGTGCTCACAGGAAACTAGAGAGAACCCACACTCACCAAGGGTTTCAGGACAATGATACCAGAACTTGTCACACTCGCCCACCAGGCAGAGTGGAAAACCCTACTTGCCCATTTCCTTTTTGGACCATGAAACACCTGTCTGTATAATATGATAGGCATTTGTCCATCAGTACATCAGAAACTTGAGAAGTTGAGTCACAGAGAAGAAGGAAGAAGGAGGAAGAAGGAAAACCTGGAGGCATTGTTGAGTGTAGCCATCAGAGCGGATTTCGCAAGTCCTTCTCGCCGGGGCACTTTGCAAACCTTGACACACACATCAGACTAACCTTTTTCCAAAATAGCTTTCCCAGAGGCAGCGAGCCGGGCCCCGGCTTCTCCTTGCCACCTTCCTTTGGTGTGTCACTGCTTGTCACGGATGGCCCGTGACCTGGGGCGTTACAGCCTTTAGGACTCTTGGCTGTCCCTTGGGGCTCCTGCGATGTGATGTTACTTTTGTCTGATTTCAGGTTGGCTGTAGGGGTGGGTGGCATTTCAGAACCCTATAGAGTTAAAAAAAAAAGCTGAAAAATTCAAAATAATTCCACCATTTTAAAAGTGAGAGGATTCTTTATTTTTTAAAATAAGTATGGGCAGGGCCCTCTCTCTCTCTCTCATATATATATATATATATATATATATATATATATATATATATATTGCCAGTGCTGGGGCTTGAACTCAGGGCCTGGGCACTGTCCCTGAACTTCTTTTGCTCAAGGCTAGAGCTCTACCACTTAAGCCACAGCATGCCACTTCCAGTTTTTTCTGTGTATGAGGTACTACGGAATCGAACCCAGGGCTTCGTGCATGCAAGGCAAGCACTCTACCACTGAGCCACATTCCCAGCCCTGGACTGTTATTATTAAGTTAGTTTTCTTTTCTCTAATTCTTGGCATTCCCTAAATGTCTACCTTGAATATGGACTTTGCTAAAATCTTAGATTGGGGGGAAGGTCAGGATAATTTCCTTCTGGGGAAAATAGAGAAGTATTATCAGGGATGAAGATGAAGAAGAATTCTGCTGTTATAATGTGATATTCTTACCAGGGCCATTGGTCTCCAGATGATTTTGATCCTGTTTCTGTCTGAAAAATGTTTGAATTCAATGTACCCCAACGCCTGTATGTATCTTTTGTGAATATACATTGTTTTGCTAAGCTAAACTGGAAATTAAGGAAGAGTGGAGGGTTGCAATAGAAGTTTTAGAATTTTCTCTCGTATTTTCCTTAAGAGATCCTTGATCTCAGCTACAAAGTCTAAAGTAGCTCAACTGGAAGTTGGTGAAGGGTTTCCAGTTGGAAACGTGCCCACAAATTCCACTTCTTCACTTCTTGTCCAAGTCACCAGACTTCACAATGAAAGCACCTTCCAATACTATTCATTTTATGCATATGCTCTCCCTTCCTTCCTGCCTGGTGTCTACCTTAACTGCTCATTCCCCCCTTAACATCTTCCATGTACTTCCTGGTCTCTTTCCTCTCTCCCAGAGTGGCCATGCTGAAGTTTCATCCTAAGACATCTGATGTCCTCAGTAAAGGGCTGAGAATTCCAGTGCTCTGCCCCACCCCACTGAGAATCATATCTGGATGTAAGCAAATACGGACCTTTAAAATTTTTTTTTGATTGGTCATGGGTCTTGAACTCTGGTCCTATGCACTGTGGTCCCTCAGCTCTTCAGCTCAAGGTGAGCGCTCTACCACTTGAGCCACAGCACTACTTCCGGTTTTCTGGTGGTTCATTGGAGATAAGAGTCTCAGGGACTTTCCTGCCTGGGCAGGCTTTGAACCATGATCCTCAGATCTCAGCCTCCTGAGTAGCTAGGATTACAGGCGTGAACCACTGGTGCCCGATGGACCTTTAAAATTTTAACACAAGGTTCATCTGTCCTGATCTCTTTCTCTTCCACATCTTCATCTTAGGAACTTTTGCCCCTGGGACTTGTGACTCCAGCCCTTAAACTTCCCAAGCCTATCATTAACTCCTGATTAGATTCTCTGACTAAAAGGGGGAAAAACATCTAGCAGTGAAAATGAAGGTGCAGATAAATTCAGGAAATTTCATATATTATTACTGGTGCTGGAAAGAGTCTTAAAGATCATCAGGTCCCATGCTAGTATTCAGGTGAGGAAACCAAGACTTTAATCTTCCCAACACTAAACTAGACTCTTCTATCTGCAGTGACAGCCCTGTCTACCTTCTTCCCACACAGCACATTACCTCTCAAGGGTGTTGACTATGTACTGCATGAATTTTGCCATGTAAAATGTATTGAGAGAGAGAATGAATGCCACATTAAGTCTCACCAAGTTTCTACTCTCCCTCCCTCCTGGCTGGAGTCCTAATCAGAGTGCCAGTGGTCTATTTGTTCCCTGCTCACCCCTCTTTTTCAAATTTCCCAAGGAAAGCTCGCAAACAGTATTAAGCCTGCATCAGGAAATTTAGGATTCTTAGAATTATAGAGGACACTAAAAATTCTCAAGTAGAGAATTAAGAAGCAATCTCACGATAAGGGATACCGGCTTTAGAATATGCAAATGTGAATACAGAATACCCCCGTTACATTTGGATTTCTGGTCAGCAAAGAATAATTTTCCAGCATAGGTATTCTAAGTATCATAGGGGACACGGGAAGGAACAGTAAAATCATTTCTTGCTTATCTGAAATGTGATTGTAACTGGGGACTCTGTGTTCTGTCTGGAGATGTTGTCTATTAAGCATTAACGTGTTGGGTTTGGAGATGACTTTATGTCAAGGCACCTTACCTCCTCAAGAAGTTGTCTCCCTTCTCCCCCCCACCCCTCGCTTTTGACTGCCAGTCATGGGGAGAAGGGTGTTAGTAATACGTAAACATTACATTAAGATCCAAAAAAAAAAAACAATGAATGCAAGGCAGAGCCTATGAGTCATAAGGGCTGAGACACGCTTTAGCTGGTTTATTGCATCGAGGAGCACTCAGTAGACAGAGGTGTATTTCTGGGTGTGACAAACACCTTTCGAATTAATGCCCGGCCTCGCTTGTTGTTACGCAACATTAGCTGACATGTGGCAAAGTTTGATGCTGAGGCATTGCATGCAATTAAGCCAAGAAACAATGATTGATCTGGACTCAATCAGGAAGGCTGGTACTCTTATTATTTATTATAATAGCCCTTATGCATTTATTAATTTTAGGCTTCCTCCCTTTTTGTAAACTCAGAAAATTCTTTTTTGTATGAAGGAAAACTTAGATGGGGAGAAAACAAACAACCAAAGTCAACTCCAGTTGGTAACTATGGTATTTTTGTTTGTTTGTTTTTAACCACAGAATTACAAGGTCGTGTTGTAGTCCCAACTTTGCTCAATGTCCCCGTTTTGGCCCTAGTTAGAACCCCAGGATAAACCCGGGGAGGGTCACCTTCCCACAGTCATGACCAAGGATCACACACAGGATTTGCCTCATCTTTTTTCCTTTTTTGTGCCTGTCGTGGGGCTTGGAACTCAGGGTGTGTCTGTCCCTGAGCTTTTGTGCACAAGGCTAGTTCTCTACTACTTGAGCCACAGCTTCACTTCCAGCCTTTTGGTGGATAATTGGAGATAAGAGTCTCAGGGCTGGCTTCAAACTGTGCTCTGAGGATCTCAGCCTCCTGAGTAACTAGGATTACAGATGTGAGCCACTGGTGCCTGGTTTCAGCCTCATCATTTTAGTCATCCTATGGTCCACCCTTTGAGAACAACAAAGTAATTGAAGAATGAAAGTAACTGTCCTAGGTACAGAGGTGAAGCTAGTGAATTCTACCAACTGTTGCGTAAATGAAAATCCAGCTTGTATAGGAATTGTTATCATACTTGAATTTGTATCTGCAGGGAAAACAACACCTCTTTCCAGGGTTCAGAGTCCTTTTCCTGATGGACCTTGGGAACAGGATGTGAGCCAAAGATTATGGAAAGCTCTAGAAATACATTGAACCTTGGTAGCCTACTTATGAGTAGGAAGATATACTACAGGCATAAAAATGAATGACAAAATGAAATGCAGCGGGGAGGGGTGTGGTCACACCCTTCATAAACTTCCAAGGCTCCCTACTTAGAAATATCTATGTTTTTTTTTTTTTTTTGGCCAGTCAAGGGGCCTGAACTCTGGGCCTGGGCACTGTCCCTCAGCTCTTCAGCTCAAGGCGAGCGCTCTACCAGTGGAGCCACAGCGCCACTTCCGGCTTTTTCTGTTTATGTGGTGCTGAGGAATCGAACCCAGGGCCTCATGCTTGCAAGGCATGCACTCTATCGCTGAACTACCTTCCCTGCCCCGAATATTTGTTTTGTTTTATTTTGGGTCCGGTTGTGGGCCTGAACGCTGAGCCTGGGCACTGCCCCTCAGCTCTTCAGCTCAAGGCTAGCGCTCTACCACTTGAGCCACAGCACCACTTCCGGCTTTTCTTTTTGCTTATGGGTGCTGAGGAATCGAACCCAGGGCCTCAAGCATGCAAGGCAAGTGCTCTACCACTGAGCCACCTTCCCAGCAAGGCTCCCTACTTAGAAGGGCTCAAGTGGAAGGTAAACAAGATTGCTTTGGATGAGCTCTGGGGTGGTTTTCATGAGCAGTCAGTAAGCTCTCTTCCAAACACTGCAGTGGCTCTAACACCACTGCTATAGACAGCTAATATCTCCCCTTTTTCTCTCTATACAGAACAAAATAGTCTATATGGAAATTGAGGGTGTCTTCATCGCATGGGTTATGCACATATAGATTAAGCCAGAAGAACTTTCTATCAAGATTCTACTTATAGTTACAGTCCTGGGACTGTAAGGTCTACTTGGTAGAGAGAATAGCTAATGTTTCATTTTAATAAAATTTCCTAGCATGAAGATCCAGTATGAGGATTTTTTTAAAATGCCAGTTCTGGGGCTTGAGCTCATTTGAGCCACAGCTCCACTCCTAGCATTTTTGGTGATTACTTGGGGATAAGAGTCTCACAGATTTTCCTGCCTGGGTTGCCTTTGAACTGCTGATCCTCAGATCTCAGCCTCCTAACTAGCTAGGATTACAGGCCTGAGCCACCAGTTCTTCGGGGAATCTTTTTAGTTGATGGCTTCCAGCACACAATGGCATCTTTCTGTATGTCAGGACAGTGGTGTTTCCAACAATGACCTCATGTTGTCCTCACGTTCCCTCCACAGGCAGCCCTGACGGGCTCTGCCTTCATTCATTGTGGGTTTTTTTTTTTTTTGTTGTTGATGTTAATTGTCTTGGCTATTACTGAGGGTCAGTACAAGTTTAGTAAACACAGGAACTAGATACAAACAGACAGAACCATTATCTTGGTGTTAGAAGAGTGTTTCCCAAAGTGCAGTCAGCATACCACTACCCGGCCAGAGATAACTTCAAGTTGCACAGAAGTACAATACACAATAACATTCGATTGTGAAAATCCTTTCCCTTTTCCAGTTCTCACATGGTCCATCCAGCAATGTGCCCTGGAAAGTCTCCTTCGGGTGCTGGCTGGCTACAATGTTCTTTCTTATTAGCCAGCTGCTTTTTCAGAAAGCCAGAAGCACACTGGATCCAGATCTGTACTTAAATGGGAAAGTTAGGATGTCACCGCTGATTAACCACAAGAATGGTTATCTTTCTCGTATGCGGAGTGGCTTTGCTTTCCAGGTATGATGAACTATATAACAGTTCTTTTTAAGACAAGAGATGATGAATTTCAACATAGAATAGTTTATCTGAAAGTGGCCAAGCAGGTATGCAAAAGAGCAATATTTGGGTAACATGAGGTGAGAATAAATTCAGAACCCTGGTCCACAGAGATGCTTATAAAATGGGGATTTGAGTTCAGGCTCATAATACATTAACCCTCCCTCCCCTTTTTTTGGTCGGTCATAGGGCCTGAACTCTGGGCCTGGGCGCTGTTCCTCAGCTCTTCAGCTCAAAGCTAGCGCTCTACCACTTGAGCCACAGCACTACTTCCAGCTTTTTTCTGCTTATGTAGTGCTGAGGAATTGAATCCAGGGCCTCATGCATGCAAAGTAAGCACTCTAGCACTAAGCCACCTTCCCAGACCCTAAATCACCCCATTTTAATGATCCAGCTACCCCAGGCTCAGGCTTCATCAAGCAGAGCTGAAGGCCTGGACTGCCTGAGCATCTGTAGCGAAGACCAGAGTCCTTCCTCTTCCTCCAGATGTACCAAGATACAGACCTTATGCCTAAAGAATTTCCTAAAGTGCAGCGCTAGCCTGGGGCTGTCCAGGTGTTTTTTCTTGCTGCCTTTAGCCTGGCTCTCGGATGTCATCTGACCAGCTTGTCCATCACACAGGCTTTCGGCTTTGGGTGCCTTGTGGGCAATGGCATTAACAGCTTAGAACTTTGTTTTTAAATAAGTCCATTGGCTTTCTTTCTGTTGTTTTAAAGGGCACTAGTACAAGGTGACAATTAACTGCTGCTGTTTTACCTCCATCCCCCAACCACAAGACAACCTACGGATGGTTATCTTTTTTATTTTTTTTTAAATACTCCCAAGTGTTCTGCTGAACTTCATGGTCAAGCTCAGGTACACAGTGACTTAGCTAAATGACCCAGATTACTACATCTCAATCCCTCCCCCAGAAAACCCGCAATTCAAACCAAAACCAGTTATCTCCTGTCTGTTTTTCTAAAGACAATAGCAGGACATCTGAGCTCTGTCTACATGATTTAAAACATCCAAATAAACAGTACACTAAAAAAACAAAGAGTCAAACTGCCAGAGAGCTAAACCCAATTCCATGCACAAAGCCAAACACAGAAGGACTTTAGGCTCCCTACCTTATCTTCCGGGTCTTTTTTTGTTTCAGCTTTGTTAGGTGAAACCTTAAAAGTTTGAAAAAAAATCGAATGTTAAAAACCACAGGTCTTTGGGTTGAATTTTATTTCATAGATGCATAATTCTTTAGGTTGGTATAATGAACACTAGCAAAGAAGGAAATAGCATTTTTAGATCAGTACAAACCCCAGTGACCTCTGAGTAATAAAAAATTAACAAGATGAATATTTTGTAATGATATTTGTACCTATCATTATCATATTTATGTATTTATAATATTTGTAGTACATCTTAGCTTATACAGTCATCAAGAGTTGGACTACCTTCAAACGTATGTTCTGAAAGGCCACGGACTTGCTATTAGTTCTACTGCCATGATACCAGACATGATCTGTTACCGTGATCCCAGACATGTTTTGTGGGCTTGTTGTCATTATATCTTTTGAGGTTAGTCTTGATGTTTGCTTAGAGTCCAGACCATCTGGGGCTGGCTGATGTTACCTTCATCTACTCTGTTCTCCTTTGAGTACCTGGCATCCACCAGGACAGGTAGTGTCTGGGCCATGCCAGGCCCTGGGCTTTGCTCTGGGGGTGGGGGTGAGGGCAGTGCAGAGGCCAGAGCTAAGTGAGCAATGTCAGGACAAGTTGGGCCTCCAGCCAAATAAAGCACGTAGGTGTACAAGATAGAAAGTGATTTCTACAATGTTTGCTTAGCTTTGTGAGTGGCAAAGTTGCTTTGATAGGTGAGCACCTCAGGATGGTATTTCCCAATAACTTTAATCACCAGTGACCAGAAGAGATCAATGAGCAATAGCATTTCATAGGATGCAGCTCACGGGTCACAGTTTGGGCATCTACAGTTCCTGTCCTGGCTCCAGCCCTGATCTCTCTCATCTAATTCCCTAAGTACTTTTTGCATGGCTCGAACCAACCTACAGAACTATCATCCATGCTGTATAACCACATTCAGATACGCATTATTCTTAGCATCATCTCAACTGGCAACCGCATTGGGGGAGCAAAGAAAGAAATGTACTTACCAGCGTCTTAAAGAAACTCATGATGGAGCTGTTTTCGCCCGTCTGCGTTGTCTGGCAGTCCTCCTTGGGGATCTCCAGGCCTCCAGGGTTTCCAGGGCCAGAGCCACTCACCGTTTCAATTCCTCGTCCTTCTGTCTCCTTGCTGTCCCCTGTCTCCTGGGAGCGACACAGACTTTTCACAGTTGCAGCTTGTTGAATGTGAACTACCAAACGCATGTTTTTGCTTCACACCCCTTTCTCCCTCACCCCCTAATTCCAGCCATACTTCTTCTGCCCACGGGGCGTGCAGGACAATGGGGGGTTTGTGAGCGCCCTTCCCCTGTCCCTTCCCCCAGTCTCTACACACTTAGCATCTGCGGTTGCTCAGAGGACGTGAAGGGGCAGACGTGGGGATGCAGGCGCTGTTCTAAACAAAACTCCTTTCCTGTCCCTTCTGCAAGGGGGCTGAGTGAGGGCTGGTGGTGCCCCCATCTTGCTGTTCCTATCTCCTGGCTGAGTGAGGGCTGGTGGTGCCCCCATCTTGCTGTTCCTATCTCCTGGCTGAGTGAGGGCTGGTGGTGCCCCCATCTTGCTGTTCCTATCTCCTGACTTGGTCCTTGTACATCGTCCCTGCAGACAGCTCTACTGTATTTCCCAGTAGTGAATCATTCCAACCAACCCAACCGACCAAACTAATTCCCTAACCATTCTGCTCGTGGGCTCTGGGGGTTCAGGGGTGGCAGGGATGTGACATGAAAAGAATCGATTTTCTCCTCTAACGCACCCAGCAGGACCGCCTGCATTCTCACTCTGCCAACCTTGCCCCAGCCATTGTCCTGGGCCGAGTTCTGGCATCTCTCAGGGTGTCCTCATTCCATCCCATCTTCCACTCAACAGAACCCTTCCTCCACCCCCTCCCACCCTCCCACGGCCTCCCATGGCTCTGGAGTCAGGCCCAGGCCCAGACACAGGCTGCCCAACATTTTACATGGTGTGGTACTCACCAAATTCTCCCACCTCTCCCTGTCCCCGCCCCCCTCTCCATTCTGGCCACAAAGGCGGGGCTTGTGTCTCCCTCGCTCATTGTTGTTTCTCAAGTACCAAGCCCACAGAGACCCGCAGATGGCATGTAATACATATGTATCATCTGACTACTTAATAGACATAGAGTGCCTGAAAACTTTGTCTAAGTGGGTCAGGCTTTCTGTACCCACTGGCTTTTCTGTAAGCACAGCTCTCTCTTGTCCTAAGTTGCCCTGTAACATTGTATATATCACCTATTGTATTTGTTCCTTGAAGTGTTATTTGTTGTCCAGTGTCCTTACTGATGAGGATTTATGCAGTATTAGGGTTTGAGCTCAGGGTTTCACACTGGCTTGACTTGCTTACTTGGCAGGTGCTTTAGAACTTGGGTTATGTCTCCAGCCCAGCTTTTTGCTGGTTATTTTGGAGATGGAATCTCACAGGTTTAATTGCCCAGGCTGACTTTGGACTGTATGCCTCAGGATCTCAAGTCCTCTGAATAGTTAGGAATATGGTACCTGGTACCTGGCCCACACTTTTATTTTTTATCTCTCCTGCATCTCTACTTTGGTGGGACAAATTACCACATTTCTGGGACAAGAGCCATGTAAATTTTGCGGCTTAGCAAGTTAGAATAAAATAAAATAATAGCAAAATACTCATTATGTATTCTTGCAAAAAATAGCTTTTACTAGGCGGATCTCTGGTAGGCACAGTCTTACCAGAGGGACTGAACACGCATGCGTTGCGCTGGGGAGACAGCAAGGGATGCCCAGACATGTGCGGGGCGGTTAGCCCTTTCCCTCCATCAACTGGCGATTTACATTTCAGCTGGGCACCGACGGCTCACGCCTGTCATCCTAGCTACTCAGGAGGCTGAGAGCTGAGGATCAAGATTCAAAGCCAACACAGGCAGAAAAGTCTGTGAGACTCTTATCTCCAATTACCCAGCAAAAAACTGGAAATGGAGGTGTGGCTCAACGTGGTAGAGCACCAGCCTGGAGTGGACAAAACTAAGGGATAGCAGTCAGACCCTGAGTTCAAGCCCCATTACCAGCACACACATGAAGAAAGAATGTGCACTATATGTGGTTCTGTTTACATTGTTTTCTTGAAATGAGAGAACTTACCAGTGCTAGCCAGGAGTTCAGTTTAGTACTGCTGAGGAGGGAAGTGCTCGCCATGGGCTGCACTTGGTGTCTGAAGTGTGGCGAGCGCTTTCTACCTGCTGAGCAAGGCATCTCTATGGGGTGGTCTGGCTTACAGTTCTTATAGCTGTGTGTGGATCTATAGTATTTTCAAGACTCACAAAACTTATAGAATAGTGCAGGAAGAAAGGCAGCAAAGGGTGTCTCTGAAAGTCTAACTCTGCTAGAATAATTGAATAAACTCACATGTGGTGGCACCTTGGAAGAAAATATTTTGTACCTATGAATTTTATCTGAGGAATGTGTGACAGAAAGAAACACATTCACAAAACTAGTAGAAGTGACTCAGCTCTAGATGCCAGGATGTATGGTAAACGATTTAAAAGATCCAACTCAGTTCTTCCAAGAGTCCTGTGAAGAACATACTATTTAGAATCCCGTTTTACCTATGAATAAGTTGGCAGATGAACAGATTGAAGACTGGCCTGAAACCAGACCCCAAGCCAAATGGCCTGAGCGTGTAAGTACTGCTCTGTCTTGACTCCCTTCCTTCAAGCGCTTATTCAAATTTCATCTTTACCAAGGGTTTTAAGTTCCCTTATCCTATCCTCTTCCCTATTATATATGTTTCCACTTTGCTATCCTTATTAGTACAACCATCTTATACAAAGACACATGGGGATGTAATACACAACAAAGGTAATGCCTGGAATCACGTAAGTGAAGGAAGACTTCCAATGAAACACCGAGGAGACAGCAGAGCAACTATCTGGGGCAAAACTTAACTTGGATCACAATCCCACCCCATGCCAAAATAAAATCCCAGTGGACAGAAACACTTGGAGAAAGTATGCCAAACGTTTTGTGCTCACAGTCTTGGTGGCTCTTGTGTCTCTGACTTGAAACCTAGAAATCATGAAAAGGAAGACTGAAAATTAAAAAAATATATACCTGCTTGTTCATAAATGCATTTACCCAGCAGGCTGGGCCAATAGGGGCCTTCTGGCATTGCCAGATAAAATCAGAAATTAAGTCAGTCCAGCTGGAGAGCAATTAGGCACTGATACTAAAATTTTAATCATATGATATATTCTTTTACTGATCCTACAAATTCACATGTGTGAACTAAGTCATTTTCAGTTACTGATCCCAGGGAAATTAATAAAAAAAATTAACAGGGACCTGGATCAATCAATCATCATCCATCCATGTATCCATCTATCCATCCATCCACTCAACCTCCATCCATCCATCCATCCATCCATCCATCCATCCATTATTCCATGGAAAAATTCATGAAAGAATTCCAAATGAGCTGGGCACCGGTGGCTCACGCCTGTCATCCTAGCTACTCAGGAGGCTGAGATCTGAGGATCATGGTTCAAAGCCAGGCTGGGCAGGAAAGTCCATGAGACTCTTAATCTCCAATGAACCACCAGAAAACCGGAAATGGTGCTGTGGCTCAAGTGGTAGAGCACTCGCCTTGAGCTGAAGTGCTGAGGGACAGTGCCCAGGCCCAGAGTTCAAGCCCCACAACCACCACCACCAACAACAAAAGAATTCCAATGAGGAGGTTTTTTATGGGAAGATATGGAAGGTATTAACCGAAAAAAAAGAAGAAATAAGAATTCATGTTTTAGTCGCTTATATCTGCCTAAAGAAATTCCAGAAAGGAACATTTAAAAAATGGCATTGGTGGACAGATATCCCTTTGTGATGTCTTGTGAACCAGGTAACTTCATTACCTATTAAATTTTAGATTAAATGAAGCATGCATGACTCATGAAAATGTTTTAAAATCATCGGGAACATCAAAATGAGCACGGCTGAGAGAAGGTTCTAGACTCTGGCCCGGGGTGTGCAGCCCACACCCTTTGAGTTGTAAGAAGATCCTCCTTCCCTGCCCACAAGCTGTCACTGGCATGTCCAAAGCATCCTCAGGCCATGGCTCCATTCTCAGCCAACAGAAATTCTAGACAGAAGCACGAACGTACTCCAGGAAATACTTGGAAACTCCCTTTAAGAAAGCAGGTGTTCTCCGGGCGATATTTCATCTGAGTCAGAAGTCTGTGTGTGCTTTTCCTGTCTGCTGGCACAGCATTATCCTAATTTGATGGTCGGTAATGGAGCCCATATGAGACTTCCAGCACCTTCTTCCAAGCGAGCGGTGTCAGCTGGATCTCAGCTTTATTCCTAGCAGCAGGGTGTGAGCGAGGGCAGGACAGAGGCTACAGAGCCCCCAGGCGGGACTCTGCTGCCTGGCCTCACCTGGACAGGCTGGAGTCACAGCTTCTGCTCGGTCTTCCTCCTCCAGCGCCCAGTATGGTTGAGCACAAGAAATGTTGAAGGGATGCAGATCGGTTGCTTGGCATCTGTTAGAAATCTGAGCCCCACACTTCCTGAGATCAAAGGCAAGAGGAATCTCATTTCCTCTCTTCCTCCTCACAACTGCACGAAATGGTTTAACTTGCCAGGCGATCGGAGATGGTCTCCAGACGATCATGATGATCATTAGGGCTTGCTTTCCTTCCTCCTAGAGCAGCCAACTGTGTGAAGCCATTTGTCAGATTTGAGGGTGGGGGTGGGGTGGTGTAGTGGAAACTGGGCTAGGTTAATTCTTGCAGACAGAATGTGGCCTCCAATTTGCTAGAAAGGAAAGGAAATTAGCCAGTAGGAAGGAACACCGAGACAGTTTCCTGGAATCTCAGTGTTTCCTAAGCAATGATTCCTTTTCCTTTTTTTTTTAACTACAAAGCTCAGAGCCACTTCAGGAAGATCAATAAAGCCAATTATGAAAGGGTAGCAGGGCAGAGGCCTTCCTGTTTTCTCTGCGCAGGACCTCATGTTAGACACAGGTGTGTTTAAGAAATTGGGGTAGGGCTGGGAAGGTGGCTCAGTGGTAGAGCGCTTGCCTTGCATGCATGAGGCCCTGGGTTCGATTCCCCAGCACCACATAAGCAAAAAGAAAAAAAAAGCAGGAAGTGGCGCTGTGGCTCAAGTGGTAGA